GACAAATTCACATGCCTCTCAAAATTTTCCTAGCTTTCTAACTATGCGACAAGAGCCGTTACAAATTCATCCAAGCTGGTCCTTAACTTTCCCACAAGAATGAATCTTGTACTGTGAGTGAAATTGGCAATATTCTGTTCAGGATACATTATACAGTACATCATTTGATAGATGAAAACCTCGACTTTCTATTCGTTATAGGTAATATATAATGAAATGTAAAAGAGAACTATTAACGAACTGGGAAAGAGAGGATGTGACAGGTGGGTGTGGCAGGAATAGCTCTGTATCCAAATAAAATTGAAGGCTAGAAAAATTATGGTTTGTTTAAGCAATAACAATTTTACAGAGAGTATTTTACGTTTAATTTTGTACTTTTTCAAGGGGTGGTGGATAAAATAGGGATAACATGCTAAGAAAAAATCTTGAATCAGAAATGCACCAAGAATAAATTATTTCTATATCGAAGGATGCTGCTGCTCAGTTGAATCACTGCCAGTGGCAGCAGTGATTATTGTACACCTTCAGGGGCTGTGGGGGTTTGGCTCTTCTCAACTGTCAGAACATTACATCCTGATTCTTCAGAAACAACCAAGACAGGCTTCATTTTCAGAGCTGAGTCATCTATTCTTGTTCCAATTCAATGTCATCAGTCTGGGTAATTTTTATTTTTCATCTGGTCTTTCAGTCAGGCTCAGCTGTTTCCCATCCAGCTCAATGCTATTGAATAGGATGCCTGACTTTTACCTCTCCTCCTCCCACTGCATGGATGGTTCTTTCCCTTCTGGGAATGTGGGCATCACTCATATCCCTCTTGCCTTTTGGATGAGAGCACAAGAGAACCTCTTAGTGGTCTTTATGGAACCAAGAGTTCAAAAACATCGATTCACTGGATTCCCCAGTTTCCTTAGTTGGGATCATTCTCCAATCTCGAGGGGCTGTTAAGTTGGGACACTACTAAGATATGGATTCCTCTACCACCACTTCCTCCAGAGTTACATCTTTTCACGAATGCCTTGCATCAGGGATGGGGTACATATACCAACAGTCATGAATTCCAAGGTTTATGCATGGATGAAGAGGCTTCCCTACACAATGCCTCATAGTCTGGGCTTACTAAGGGGAAAGTCATCAGGCTTCACTCTGCCAATTCTGTGGTGGTATCTTATGTTTCTCATCAAGAAGGCACTTGGTCCAGGGCTCCTTGTTTTCATTGTTTTCTAATTTTAGACCTCCTTTTTCAGGACCATTCCTATCTTATCACTCTACTAGAAGGTAGCAGGTCAATTGTCTCAATCTAAACAGATTCTCCCAACAGAATAGATACTACATTGTAACGTTCTGTTGCATTGGCTCTCATTTTGCAAATCTGATTGGTGGAGTTGGCTTGTCATTAGATACCCAACTACTGGCAATTGGGTCTCTAGTACGTCAGCTTCGGGCTTTGGTAATAGATGCATTCTGACATGACGGGATTACAACTCTAGGCCTTACCTCAACTTCATATGTTTCCCAGGGTACTAAATATGATTTGTTTCAGCCCATTGTCAGGCCCTGTTGATATGTTTGTACACCCTGGTTTCTGCTTCTGCAGTTCCTTGTAGAGTATCCCCTCTTCCACTTCTTAGGCTATCTCTGTGGAGGCAGCCATGATCTGACATGGTACACCCAGCTATCCAGAAGCTCAAGCTTCAGACATAGAGGTTATGCAGTCTTTCGCACAACATCGGGGTTTAATTTCTAAGGTTGTCATGTATCTGTCTCCTTTTTTGCTTAGTCTCAAGAATAACATTTATCAATGGAAATGATATGTATATTGGCAATAGTGCATTGAGAGGAGGTTGAACCCACTTGAATCAGAAGTGCCAACCAAACTCATTTTTGAACTGCCTCTTTTGCAGAGGCTTTTGCATCTTCCATAATCAGCCTGTTTAAGGCGGACTTAGCGACTACTGTTCGATTCTCGCAACTACAAATTTTTTGGGTCCCCAGTGCTCTCCGGATTCCTCAATTTGCTTTGGGTCCTTGGTCCTGAATGACCATTCCAGATTCCTAACAGGTGACAGTACATGCTTTTTCTCAACACATTTCTGACCTAACTCTTATATGCCATATATCCCCTTTACCTGAAGGTTTATTTTTTGTGGCTGCTGACATACAGACATTGCCGGTTGGAGTGATTTATGCTGTTTTTTCACAGATTTCTTTCTCATTCTCTCGATGTCCTCAGACTGGTTCTTCTTACACAAAACACTGTTAGACAGGGAAGGGGAGAAATCCTTTTCACCAATTCATTTAATCACTATTTCTCACATCTATGTTTGATCAGATTTTGACTGTGGTCATGTTGAGTGAGGGTCTTGAAGGTTTTGTTACCTGCACTAATACCTTTAGAGATGCTTTTATTCTGGGCACTCTTTGAAGGCGAGGAATCTTCTGTATTTCCAATAATACTTACCTCCTCTGACACTCTCCCACCCTTCTTCCCCACTAAGAGTTGGTGTTAAAGACTGGGATTGAGTCAGTCTTGAAAAAGTGATAACATTATCTGAATGAGGTGCTTATATACAGTACCAGGATAGGGAGCACATTGACGTAGGTGACGAGGATCACAAGAAATTGAGTGGGGTATAAAAGACTGGAGTGAACAAAAAAATAACAGACCAATGCTTAGATGGGCAAAGGAAGAAACCCTGACAGTTGAATAAAAGCTACCAATATGAGATGTGGTATTATTGGAAATATATTTCTGATTTAAGAAAATATTAACTTTAAAATTATGTTTATCATCCTGTCGTAGAATGTGCACTTCAACATACATGAAAGTTAACTGATGGAATCTGTTTATCTTGTACATATTATTTTTACCTGTACTTTTTAAGTTCTGAAGATATCTTTATCATTAATGAAATTGATTAAACCCAAGTCACCATGTGACAGATTAATTATTTTCCTTTTTTCTCATTCTCAAGCAAAAGAGGAAATGTGGGGTCCTAAAAACTAATATATATTTATGCTTCAGAAAAGATATGCAATTCAAAAATAACTATTTTTATTTTATATGTATAAACATTTTTTCTTTCTTTCAATAGGATGAAGATAGAAACGAACTCATAACATTTTTACGAGAAGTAATATGTACTCTGTCGATCTGCCGTGCTCCTCTGATCAGCATCCAGGCTGCTGTTATAGAATTTTGGTGGGTTTGATTGTATTTTGAAAAAATATTCAAATCTCTGTTTATAATTATAACTGATGCTTACAAATATTCAGCATTAAACGTAAATTAGAATACCATCTAGAAATTAAATTTTAAGACTTTCCAACTGATTTCATTGCAAGGCAAAAAATCATTACTGTACAATACCAATCGTTTGATTTTAATATGCAACTATCACTACAGAGAAGGCAGTAAAATATTCTCAAAGAGTTTGTTGTAGGTTGTAGTTATTTTGATTTACCTTATAAAATATGAATAACATATAATAATAAGCAACTTTCATATCAACTGATACAGAGAAGACTAGAGAACTTTAAACAATACTTACTACATACTTTTTACACCAACTATTATAGAGAAGACTATAGACCAATGAACAACATTAAACCATTTTCAGCCCTGTATCTTGAGTTTCTACAGGGGAAAAATGACAGCATTGAGTTTTGAAAAATTTTGTGATCTCTTCTTTCAATTTAATTTAGAAAATTATAATTGAAGTGCAGAGATTTCAAAGTTTCTTTTATGTAAGTTTTATTAACTTTTGTTTGGGATAAAATAATTGAAAAAAAATCTAAATTATTAATTCTAATTTTATATTTTTGCTTTCTATTGTAATTATTACTGAGATGGTGAGTATCATTAAGTTTCCCTCTTGCACAGATACAACCGATCAGTGTACAAAAAAGAAAGCAAGAAATCTATAAACTTTGCCAAAGTTTTTGCTTATTTGTAGCTAAGATTGTTTGAAAGCAGTTGGTGATGATAAATACTATGAAGTCCATCTTTCCACATTTAAATTTTTTTTTAAATAATTCTTACGTTTCTGAAGCTAATAATATCATAAATATACTGTCTGAAACTTTATATTATTTTCTTTCTTGCAATCTATTTGTTGTAGATCTCCCTTCATTCCTTGCATACATTTCTTGCTATATTTCAAGGCATCTTGAGGCCCTTTTCAATTTCCATTGGTAGGTATTTGGATTTAAGTACTTGGGGTGTTCAAGAATTAATCGATTCTCCTACCCTCTGCTCATGGTATTATGGTTGAGTTAGTGGAGAAAAAAAAATATACAAAAAATAAAAAAGTAAGTAAAATAGGGTAAATATATTATGGCCATGGAAGGAGGATTAAAGATATTGCATGTAAGTGTTAAAATTATACCAAGCCTGCCAGTGTAAAAGAGCAAGTGAGATAGTTCTCGATAGCAATGGAATTGGTTTGGAATTAAAGATCCAATGCCATGAATTTTGACAAGGAGAGAAAAATCCACTTTCACTGATCGGGTTCCGAAAAATCTACTCAATCATTGCCCAAGGTGTTGTCTGAAAGAAAAAACTAGAAAGATAAGCCTAAAAGATAACAGCTAAAAGTAAACTATAGAAAACAGTTAAGTTTACATGTTTCTACTCTGGGTGATTAAATGTTATGTATTACTTTATCAGATTAAAAGGGGATATTTATTTTTTCCCATGAAGTGAAGGTGGCTGCTATGGTAGGAAATGGTGCAGACAATGGGTTTCTCTTTGGTGCTTTTCTATGGAATTTAGTTGCTAATTTAAGGAATGTATTTTTGACTGAAGTAATGCTCTCTTTCAAAGGGCTTCTTTGAAGTGGCTTATTTCCCATGAGGTGAACATGGCCACTGTTTAGTATCACCCTTGAGACCTTGTGGGGCTTCTATCTTGTAAGTTAGTAATAGTTTTCTGTTCTTTGTATGCTACAGAAAGGCAATAAGCATGGCCCTTCCTTTTGGTCGTTCTCTTACTTTCCATGATCATGGAAGAGGGTCCTTTACTCCTCATAATTCCACACGTGGAGCATCACGTCCATGAGCCATTGGTTGAACTTCATTTGTTCCACATCCTTCTCAAAATTCTGGGGACAGGAGGTGTTACCTTGCCACCCAGGTTGAGGAGTTAGGATTTTGGTTCATAATCTTAGGCAAGATGATCTAGATATGAGCCCTATAATTCCAACAAGAGATGTGGAACCTCATATGTGTGGTTGGGGCCTGGACAAATTTCATTATAATGAACAATGTTGATTCTGTAGCCAGTTGGCCTTTACCACCCACATTTAGATTTCACTTTATCTGGGTGAAGAGCATACCTGTTCCAGAAGTAGTGCAGACCCCCACTGTGTGCTTTATTTATCTCAATTTTGCATATCTGTTTTTCTATACAAACACTTTCTGTGGGGATCTTGCCCACACCAGCCTCTCCACCTGGTCAATGTGGGATTCTAGTTAAAGCATGAGAAAAGGTTTGTTTCGGAAGCTAACATTTTCCTATACCAAAAATGTATTTCCCTTAATAATTACCTCCGTTCCCACTATGCCACCCTTCCTTCCCATGATAGCTGGTGCTTGAGTCTGATAATCTTGCCAGTCTCAAAAAAAAAAGAAGAAAGAATAATGGGAAGCTTGTATACAAATCGGTATAGAGGGGGCATTGACATAGGTGGAGAGTGTCACAAGATTAAAATCATTAGGGGCAATATAATGGGGTATAAAGACTTGAGCAATTGAGGTAGAATTCATACCATTGCTTTGATGGGCAAAGAAGAGAACCTATCATTGGGATAAAGCTAAAGTGTGAGAGGAAGTAAGTATTATTGGAAATACATTTTTGATAGAGGAAAACGTAAACTTTCATTGTATTTGAAATTCCATATAACTTTTTATGTAAGGTGGCATTGATTTTTAAAACATTGTTAGTTATTCTTGAAAAAAGCACATGCAGAAAAGACTTACAAAAGACTGTATTTCATGTTAACTATGGTCAAAATGTATAAAAAAATATAGGATTTCCAGCTTTACACACAACTATCTTAGCCTATACAATTTTCACTGCTTTTTAGTCATCCACTTTTCTCTGCAGCTCCAAATAAAGTTGAGCTTTAGTACATGTTTAGATCCATTTAATTCCTCCTGTTTTTCAATGTCACCCATGATTTGTCTGTTCTTTTAATGGGTTAAGCCCCATTCTCCCATGTTGGTGTTTTGCATCTTACCTGGTTACCAATGGTAACATTAGTAACATAATCTGTTCCTAATTACAAAATTGATGGAAACATTAAATACTTCTGAGTCATGAAGATAGGGGTGATGTCATCAAAGATCATTTCACTATCCTTCATACTTTACATCCTACTCATTTCCAATACAACTATGAAGAAAGAAGTCCTAATGTCAAAAGCTATTATTGTTGGGGTTTTTGTTTCAGTTGAAGTAAATGCTCTGTAGACTTGCAGTCACAGAATAAATACTCTGTGCATAGATTCAATTTTGTGAATCATTATTAACAGGAAATTAACATTATGAAGGAAATATTTTGAACATTGGATTGTTTTTATAAGTTTCAGCTTTTTTGTCATTGTTACAATTTGTTCTATTAAATCTTTCATACACTTTTGGTTTTAAGTGAATTTAAGAGGACTTCATATTTTTTTTCCATTGTTTGATCACATTCAAAAACACATTGTGCTATTTTACAAAAGTCACATCAAAGAAATGATTTTCTATCTATGGTTTGCTTTAGCTCAAACACGAACTATCATGATTTGCTCTTGTCAGTCTTGTGGGATGGTGTTGTCCACACTTCAGCATTAGTAAGAAGTGGAGCTGCAAGGCTATTTGAAGTCCTTGCTGGAGCTGTTAATGAACAATTGCTGCGATCACGTGTTATTCCTGCCCTTATCACACTTGCCAGTGATCCCGAAATGTGAGTTTTCACTAGTTTTCTAATTTGTGATAGTTTTTGGTAACAGAAATTAAAGTACGAGTATGCACTTGTATGTTTTTGGTAAAATTAACAGGGAAAAATAAAAATATATTTTTGTTTGATATATAAGACTGTTTAGTGTAGAGAAAAATTTGAGGCCTTAGTTGGGCAACTTATAAATATAAACAACCAAGCGAGCACAAATCAAGTGCAGTTCAGTCAGAAAATTAGTTAGAAAAAGAAAATGTGAAGTTAGCAGGCTTGTGAGTGATCAGCCTTAACAGTTGATATTTTAAAATGTGTTTCACAGTTTAAAAGAGATAAGGAGAATAATTTGTTTTGTCAAAGGGTGTTTTAAGGTAATTGAACCTGTCTGTTTGGACTTTGACAAAAAAGGAGACAGTTATTTGAAGATCAGGATACAACTGTGGTAACCCATGGGGTAGTGTAAGTGAATTATTCACTGATACTATTGTGACAAGAGTATAGAAAAATAGTTTGTCTTGTCAGTTGGATTCTAAAGTAATTGAATCAACCTAAGTGGACTGTTGACAATAAAAGAGAGTTATATAGAGTTTGAGATAGAATTGTGATATCCATAGGGTAAATAATTTTTGTATGTAGTTTGACTTATTTTGAAACAAGTGGAGTGTGTCCTGTCTGTTTATTGTCCAATTTATTTCCAACAAGTCACAGACACCGACTGTAGAAAAATCGAATCACACATACTTAAAACCCTGACACTTTTATGCCACTTTATTTTGTAGAATGTACAATTTATTATCCAGTGTGCTATTTTCTGGTGTCATAAAGTTTCCAAAACTCATTACAAGCTTTTAATGCAAAAGAAAATTTATAGAACTGTACAGGAAATATCATCTTGGATATTAAAAATAAATTTAAAATATCCATGATATCTTACAGAAGTGAGTTGCTCAGAGTACCTCACAAAATGCTAACTATAAAATAATGAAAATTTTGATAAAATAAATTAAAATTAATGCTGCATTACTACTAAAATTACGATATATTTTTTATTTAGGATGAATATCAGTTGATTTACTGTGAAAATGGCAGGATTGACAACATTGTCTGCAATGCACATTACAGTATGCATCACATGTCATATTTTGATAATCTTCTGCATTGGGTCATGGTACAGGTGAATTGTGGGAAATTTCTTGAAGTTTAGGTTACTAAAAAAATGGTTTGCGAAATGCTGTTTTAATGTCTATGCATTATCCTGTCATAATGCTGTCATATGTAATGCCTATTGAAAGTTGTTAATCTTTAACGTTATAGTGATTTTTATTATGAGTTTGCATGAAACATTTTTGAATTCTTGTATTCTTACAGAGTTTTGTAAAACTGAATTTTCCATTCTTTTTTTTTTCAGTTCAGTCAGAGCAGCTTCAGTTCCTGCTTTTGGTTCAATTCTTATGGTGACTTCTCAGAAAGATGTGAGTTGTATGAACTTTATTTTTCTTATACTTTTATGGCATAGTTGGATACAAAATTAAAATACTTCTTAAAAATGGTGCAGAAACTATAATACTTAACTGCAAAGTGTGTGATGAGTATAAGAATAATAGTATTGAAATATATCAGAAGAACAATAAAAAATATATTTAACCATAAACTTTACAGCACAACTTCAAGGCTGATGAATTTGTTTTTCTTTTTAGTCACATTGAAAAATGACACTTAATGATCTCTTGCTGTATATTTGAGGTTTATGATAGTTACTCAAATAAATAAACATATGGTGTAACAAATTGACAAATCAGAGACATCCATACTTATTTTCAGTGGTTTAGACTGTGTATATGGTTAACCCTTTTGCAATGGGCATCTTTTACTGCACATTCACAAGGTTTTGTGATTTGCATTAAAAATTTAGTTAAACTACTTTTCGTTTACATTATACCAATTAGTATGGCTTAAAATCAAAGCAAATAATCGATATTTTGTGTACAAGAGACTTGGAATGTTATCCAAAAGTCTACCAAATTTTGTGAAGATACATTTCCTGTATTAAAAGTTATAGTATAAATACTCAATGAGTGCCAAGGTGTATACGTACTCAGTATTTTATACCGAGCATATTGTGAAAGGGTTAATGAAGTGTGTTCTAGCTTTGTAGCTGGTCGTATTCTAGCTCAAAAGCAAGAAAACTTGGTTGTATTTCTTTAATTGCAAAGCTACATAGGGGGCTACCTGTGTTGTGCCTACTAAAGGTATCAAACCCAAATTTTTTAGCATTATAAACCCTCACGCTTATTTCTGAGCCACTGAAGGGAAAAAAATGTAAACACCCTTTTTTTTTATAAAGGGCCATTGTTTGATTTTTATGAATAGATACTTGGAAAATGTTATTATTATCATTATTTTTATAGCTGTTAGACAAAGTTCATCTCCAACTGCAGACTTTCTTAGATGACCCAGTTTACAGAGACCAGCACGTGTTAGAGCTTGAACTGATTCATACCTTTGCTCGCGTAGGGCCCAATATAGAGCCAAGGTTCCGAGATGACTGTAAGCAAGTTTATTATTATCATATTTTTTAGGTTTTGTTTTTATTTAAAAAGACATTTTACTGTCTTAATTTTTCTTGCACAAGTTAATTCATTTTTTCAGTTAAGTATGTAACAATTCAGTTTGTGATAAAAATCGCATTAACTGCAGATGTTTTTTTCCACATTCCTTTTAATTTGACTATTGTGGATTTTGATTTTGAATCTGCAATGGACAAGTTTAGAGGAATGTATGAAAAAACATCTGTAGTTCACATGATTTTTATTACAAATTTTAGGCCTATTGATCTCTAGTGCTTCACTCGCTTTCAGCATTTAAGACATTTCAGTTTGTTTCTCTTTATCCTGATATGGTTTTTCTATAGAATATTATAAAGATTGGCCAATACAAAGTTCATATATAGACCACACAATCATAATAAATGGTATAATATATCTATGCTTTTTTGATATTCACACTGAATGTATGTGTCGAGATTGTACCATATCACAGACTAAACTTTCTCTCACTCTGAGATTTATGAGATGTATCTTGGGTAAGGAATGTTCTATGCTTTTTTGGGTCTTCATTTATTATTGCATAAGGTGCAGTTGCTATAATGATTTATGTGTGTCATGCATTAGGAGATCTTATGTGAAAGTATAATACTTTTTTTTTCTTCTTAATGTCATCACATAAAGCTTAGTTTATTCATTGTTATAGTAAAAATCAAAATCAAAACCTCATTTGCCTAGATTTATTGTCAGAAATGGTATTTTGAACTACTAATGGAAATATTTACCCACATGAATTTCAATTTATCTCCAAAACAAAATGATGAGGATAAAACTTGTTGCACTGTCAAAAATCAATGCAATCCTTGGAATAAATCTTTATGAGCTCAGTTTGGTATGTTTTCTCTGTATGAATATATAAAACATAGAAAGGGAAAATTGTTTAGTCTTCTCTAGCAGCTGTGAAATACAAAGCAGTCAAACTTTCTCTTTGCCATTACTTATAGAAGCTTTATTAATTAAAACAGTGTTGAACAAACATCTATGTATTTGTGTGTCTATATATATATAATCAGTCAATTGTTCTAGTATTGTACCTTAATTGTAAATAGGTGATCAAGTCAGTACTATATAACAATAATGAAATTAATACAAATCACAGCCAAAACATTTACATTGAGACTTTAAAAAAAAAATGTGTCTATTACCATTAAGTTGTAATGTTGTTTTAAGTTGTATTAAGTTGCTGTGGTCATAGCTTCCAAAAGCATTGAGGATATTCCATGTATGAGACGTGATCTAAATGCAGATGTCAAACTAGTTAGCAGCCACAGAGAATCAATTGGGAATTGAGTGCTTAAATCCACACATTTCAACTCCTGCTGCCTTTCCCTGTCTGCAGTCAGTTGTGAGAAGGCAATCACCTTCAATCTTTAGATATATAAAAAGAGCCTTGTAGTAAAAATAAATGACCCTATAGTTCTACTATTTAAACACTCCCAACCTCCTCCCTTTTAATAATTATTACATATTACAAAATGATGTTAAATTAGGCAGTCATCCCAATATTTAGATATAAAAGTAACCTTGTAGTAGAAATAAACCACCCAATAGTTCTACTATTTTAACACTCCCAACCTCCCTCCTTTTAGTAATTATTACAAATGATGTTCAGTGGTGTTAAGTTGGACTAAAAACCTTTACCTTGATTATTTAAACTCCCACCCTCCTCCCTTTCTTTCAAAAAACATTTGTTCAAGTATTAACTGGGTGAGCTGAGACAAGCTCAGCTACTTGAAGCTGGTCTTTTCATCCGGATGTACTGATGAAATATCTAAGTAAATTATATTTAATTATTTATAAGCTTTGAATGACCTAAAGTAGTGACCTCTATGTATTCCAGAAAGTAATTTCAGTAATCAAAAATTTATTTTTTAATATATATCAAATTTATTAAAAAAGGGTAAAAATTTCTATATTTTCCCATCTTTGTAGCTATTATTTTTTTAATCTATTTCTTAATAATTGAATATTATCCATAAAGGAATGAATATTGTTATTGAGAAATAACAGTTTCTTTCAATAGTATAAATGGAACTTTTGGAGCAAGTGAAGCAATGTACTCTGACTTCTATGAAAACAACATCTAAATCTAAATAGTGTGCATGATTATAACTATTACTACTTTTATTTGTTGTAGTTGCTTTGGATATATTTGATTTGGATTAAAATTGAGATTAAATCATCAATATAATGAAAGGTGTAACTATACAAGTTAGGGTTTATTACTTGTTTCATAAGTAAAGTCTCGTGGAAGTACAGATGGAAAACTTTTTCATCAAAGATAATGCAACTATTATACATACAGAAATTAAATATACTTTTACATTGATACTTTGTAAATTTGAATTTAGAAATAATTATTTCAGTAGCTATAAATTGATCAATGAAATCTTTCAAATGGTATATAATGTAGTAAAATCATAAGTAGTTACAGAATTGGCTACTTTTAAGTTTTTTGAAGGAAAGGGAGTAGGCTGGGAGTGTTAAAATTGTAGAACTATTTAGTAGTTTATCTCTACTACAAAGTTACTTTTATATCTAACTATTGGGATGACTGCCTAATTTAAGCACTCAACTCCTAACCCCCAGTTGATTCTCCATTACTGCTAACTAGTTTGATATCTGCATTTGAGTCATGTTTGATAGATAGTATATCATCAATGCTTTTGGGAGCATTGACCACAGGCATTTTCTGTCACAACTTAATAACAAGAACTGATAATTGACAATTTTTTTAAGTCTCATTGTGTACAGTATGCATGTGTGTGTGTATACATATGTATATATACATACACACACACACATATATATATATATGTGTGTGTGTGTGTGTATTTGAAACATTCATGCCTAATGCCCGGTTGTATTATCTGAAAATGTATATATATTTATTTTTTCATTAGTTAAAACTTGTTGAATAATGTAAAAAGAACTTTAGTTTTGTAGGCTGACTTGGAAAACACACCCTCCTCTGTTGACAGTATATGATTGTGTAATATAAATCTGATAATTAAAAATGCTTAATTTTACTTCTTTGTAGTTGTTCTTCCAAGACTTGCATCATTAGCAGCGAAAAATAACCAAAGCCCAAATGAAACAAAAAGACAGACCATAGCCTCAGCTTTACTGGAAGCGTACACTGCTCTTTCATGCTGTTGTATCCTTTTTGTGTGTGTGTGTGTGTGTCTGTCTTTCTTTTATGTTTATCGCAGAACAGTAGGTGAATATCTGAAAATAAATAGTTTAATATGTATTCATATATCTAAAAGTGGGTTGTAAAAAGGCGACAAAATACATTAAATTGTGAACAAGATACGTTCATTTAGTGATTTGAAGTTTACGTATTATAGGATGACTTATTTTGAGAGTTTTAATTAGTTTGCAGTTGAAAAAAAGTTTGTCTTTGATAAAACATTTTTGTCTTTACCAAATTTGTAGATGTTTTTGTCTGATATACAATGTTTTAATACATTTTTACCTGTTAAGCAAATTCCACACTATTATAAATATTTTACTTCTTAATACAACTTTAGTCATGAGTGACCAAATGGTGTCTGAAGTCTTCCTTCCTGGCCTTCGCTGCTTATGCTCTGATCTTCGGCAAGTTGCACCACAGCAGGAAGATGTTATCAATTCAATGATTCGTGAGTTTGAGGCTAGAATTGATATGCCAAGAATGGACGAAAGGTAAACTATAGATCTTAATCATCTCTTTATTATTATACAGAGGGTTGATTATGTTATATTAAAATGAGTTGGAATATGTAAATCAGCAAGTCATGTGACAACCATAGCTTATATAAGGTTGTGATGGAATGGATGTATCAGAACTACATTTTGCCATTATTTGGATTTTGTAGGTAGTGTATCACCACCAAAATTTGATTGGTGTTTGGAAGGGTATGTAACAGCCTTTTCCAAAGCATAATATTCATTCATGAATATTATAATGAAAATACTGTGTGTCCATAAGAGCTGTTACATACACCAAGACCATGAAGATGTGTTGAGGATTTAGAATTTCTAAGTCGGGATATTCCTTGTACTTAACGTTATGTATACCATCAATGCTTAGCATTAATCTCATTTTTGTGATGTATACATAGCAAGTTTTACTAATATAATTCCAAATTTTTGGTAATATTGAAATAAATATTATTTATAAGTATATTTTACACAAGAAATCTTATTTTTTAAATGTGTTTTTACTAAAGATTTGTGTGTGAATTTATGAAGCCTTTACCATCTGAGGGTGAGGTGATTTTCCTGCTAATTATAAAAATATCTTCATCTTACAGCTTTCATATTTAATTTAAAAAACCTCTTGAAACTTCTAAGTGATTATTGATTTTTCTTATGAGTAAAACTTTGTGTTTTATCAGTTACTTTCTCAACTTTAATAGTAACTGTAGCTAAAATCATGAATGTATGTTTCAAATGAAAAGTTTAAAATTATGAAATGAAATGAGAAATTTATTCTTTTTTCATTGCATCATTGTTGCTACATCATCCATCAATGATATTGACAATTTCAACTGTTAACTTTTACACATTTTGATTATATGGTTTTATTGTCTGGCTTTTATCACGTAAGCTGTTTATCTGTCTGATAAAAGCAACAAATCACAGTGGGAATATGCTAGCAGATTCTTGTATACCAGTGTACTGCATAGCATGAAATACATGCACTTAAATATGTAGCTAAATAGGCCTAGTTTTTTTTTCTACTAAGTTCAGTGTCCAAACAAAAATGTTTGTACTTTTCAAATGTATATTTTAGAAAACAAAAATATATCTGTCACTAAAACAGAACATCCCAAAACTACTATCATTTAAGTGGCTTCCTAATCAAGCTATAAATAGGGTAAAAAAATCCATTACCTCTGAACAACAACTTTGTTTACACACACACACATCAGTCATGTCCTCTCAAAGAGGAGAAAACAGGACATATTATTCAGTCATTGCATAACTCAATCATCAGGAGAATGACAAGAGTATTCATGCTGTTCCACATGAAGACATAATAGCCAAATTACCATATATAACTTTTATGAATTTCTGTGGTATAATATTGGTGAAATGAATGCTAGGAAAGGAAACTCTCATTGTACACTATATGGATCATGGAAGGCAAGCAGGGTAGAATGGTGCACTTTGGTCATGAAAGTCTTATAATGGAACCTTTTCTAATGAAAACTTTGCTACAGGTATATTTTCAAGATGCATGGTCATCACATAGAGCACAAAAAGAAGTGTTGACATAGACTGTATGATACTCTTATGCATGTTTTCTGTTTGTTATTTATTCAGTTTCTTTTTTTTTAGTCTGTGTTAGTAAACTTCCCAGGTAGGACTAAGTGCTAAAATGTTTATTTGTTCTCACCTGACTCTGAATAAAATAAACTGTTGTATAGCAAATTAATCATTGCTTAATTTTTAACTCTTTCTTATACAAAAGATCCATCCTTTTTACTTGCAGATATTAAACTTTTGCCACTGAAAATGATTTTTCAGCATCAACATATGCAACTAGAACAAAGAAAAGCTTTAGTTATTCATGATGAAGTAAATCTTCATTTTTTAATGCAGTCATTGCCAACATATATAACTTGATTTTTGTGTGTGTGTTTTCAGTAGTGCTGGACTAAGTATTCCTGGGTCATCAGTGACTGTCTCAGAAGTTAGAAACAAGGTGACGAAGATTTTTGCCACAAGACCATCAGCACCAAAATCAAATATTTCTAATCTATTTCATAGACACAAATAGTGAGGATTAGTTTTCTCTGTGCAAAAGTTCTCAGTAGTGAAGTCAGGTGGATATCAGGACCAAATGCAACTTCTTATCTTCATCAGTTACAGGATGGAAAGTGAAGGCAGCATGCACATTAGATAGACGTTAAGCATTGGGCAGTTCTTGTTTGGTGTTTTAAAGAATGAATTTGTCAAGATATTAAGTATTTCTTAATTAATAATAAGTAAATTTGCTGATTTAAACCCATTCACATATTTTTAATAAATGCTTAGGTACATTTGTAGCTCTTTTGTGTAAACACAAAATTAACATAATAGAAACAGATGTTTGATTTTATTGCAATGTAAAGGAAAGTCAGTTTCTATGTTTAAAAGAAGTATTTTTTTTCACACCAGAATGTCACATTGGTTCAATTTTGTGTCATTTGAGAACATGACCTCTATACTTTGGGAGTTTGAAGGGTAATCTATATATTATAAAAACTATTAACTTCATAATAATTTGTACTTATAGCAAAACAAAACAAGGATTTAAAATCTGTGTAATATCAGTTTTTTTTAGTATGTTTAGAGATTTAAATATTTTATATATATGTATTTCTTTTAATAAAGTATACGGGAAAAAAAGTTTTGTTGGCAGGTAAGTAAAAACATTTTTTGTTTGACTTACTGAAGCAACATAAAGATGAGTTGACATCCATACTTGAAAGGAGATGTTACTTTCGATTTATCAACTCTTTACTATACTAAGTTGATCTTGATGAATTCATTGTACACCATAATTGTACAGAAGTTGTAGATCCACAAAAATTGATGAAAATGAACATATTGCCCTTCTGACTAGTCTCTTATGATAAATGGAAACTGAGTATTTATGTTATTTTGCCTTTATAGTTTAATTTCTAAAGTGTTGCTTAGGTAACTATGTTAGTGATTTAATTTGTTAATCAAATCAAACAAGAAACCTAAAGGATAGTATGAGTACAGTGTGTGTAATAAACATTTTTCATAGCTATTATTAGATTTATGATGCCATGCCAAATATAAAGCATGTAGTAGATGAGTAGTTTACAATCTCACCATTCAGTAATGGTTATACCATCAAGGAAGCAAATCTCAATATTAAACAAATTACAGAGCCCAGTTTCTATATACTTCCTGACTGCACTAAGTAGTAGTTACAATTTTATCATGTAATCTAAATCACAGTTTAAACCTAAATTTTTAAACCTCACCACTGACAAGTTGTGATTATATAAACTTTAAATTAAAATATCCAGTCTGGTGTCAACTATTTTTATACAGTTAAATGTGATAATCCAACTAGATACTTTTCTTGAACCTGTTAAAAATTAGGGATAGTTGGAGAGGTTACCAGTTCTCTCAAATATATGGTGAGTTACAAAAAACATTCCAATTTAGAAGTTAAGTGTAACGTGTACTTTGTGCATTAACTGTAGCATTAGTGCTATTTATTCTGCATTAAGATATGGTATGTGTGGGTTGTTTGTAATTTTAGAGGTAAAAGAAATATGAAATTAATGAGCTGTTGTATAAGTAGGAAATGTTATTTTAAAGTTTGTTTCTATTGTTTCAACTTGCAAGATCTTTACATTTCAGGTGTATATATATAAACATATAGACACACACACACACATATATACATATTTGATACTTTGAAAATATATTTGGGATTATGAACAGTTTTAAGAATAACATTAGTGTTTTTTGTGAATTTTCAGAGTTAAAAATTTCAATATTTCTAGTGGAACATAGGAATTTAATTACTCTGTTCAGTGTCATTATTATTAATAATGTATTTAAGTTTTGTTTTCTGTATGTGTTAAAAATACCAGTTTAAAAAACTGAATAGAACCCAGTTTTGTATAAAGTAATGGTTATATTAAAGTTGACATTTTACAATGTCAACAGAAAAAGAAATGAGAAAATGGCTTGTGTTGTTTACACTGACCTTAGATTTTCTGCTATACTTAAAATATGATAAAAAAAAAAGTAGTTTTGAAGGTAGATTCAGGTATGGTAGATGTACAAGGTGTTGGAAAAGAATAATCATGATAATCATGTTAAAAGAATTTAAATTCTGATGTGGAAATTAATCAAGCAAAGGTTTTTTGTACCTCTAGACAATTACAGGTTTGCTACTGAACGTTCATTTGAGTAATCAACTACATAAGTTTTCATGACATCTAAAACCAATGGGACCAAATCTGTTTCAGATATGCTGAAATTACAATTCAGTATTTAGATATTTTCATATAATAAACACAGGATCATGTAAAAAATTTTAAAATCTGCAAAGTAACACTCACTGTATTCTGTGGTCCCAAAGTCTGCAAAAGCATGATAATTTGAAAGTAAATTACAAACGTTTTCTTCTTCTTCAAGTGTTAAAAATTTGAACAAAAACTTATTTTTTGATGGCCACCAAGATTTTACTCAATACATACAAGATTATGCTTTTAGCATTGTTTTATTTTCAAATAGATTTATTTTTGCTTAATTATGTATAGGTGTCTGTATATTAACCAGATATTCATATTTAATATGTACATACAATTGTCCCAGCTGTACAAATGTCAATTCAAATAAACTTTTCAATGTTGGTTTATCTGGAATATATTAATTACTTGCAGAATTATATTGACCAGCAGTTGTTGCATTTAACTCACTTTACAAGCAAGAAAATAAAATAATTTAGTTATGAACAAAGTAGCCCTAACAATGTAAGAGCAGCTAACACGTTTGAAGTCTGCTGCTTCTCATTTTCCACTACCAGTGGTATAGAAAACAGTTTTCCAAAGATATGTCTTCTTAGTGGTATCTATTCTAGTGGAATTTTGTATAATAGAACCATTGAATTACTTATCCAAAGTTGGAAGCATACTTTATTGCAAACATTGGTGTTAGCTGGACTATAAATGGCTTTTTGTTGAAATGAAATTATGAATTAGCAATCTACCCACATGTGTACTTACTACACAGGTTGATGAAGATTTAGATATAACATTAGCTATGAGTAACTCTCTGAAGACTGTGGGTAAAAAAAAATTGTGAAACCAACCACAATATATATTTTATAAGTATTAAAACCAAAGTAAATTAAAAAGCATAAAGAGTATACAATTTGCTGTTATTTTCAATCAGATATGACTAAATTTTTATATCAATTTTATGTAAAAATCAAATTTGGATTTATAATCATAAGTTTAAGTTGTATATGTACACCTCAGCTTTTTGAAACCTTATACCAAAAAGCTCATGCAATATTTAGTTTTACAAGCTTTTGGTACACCTGTGGTACACTCTTCTTTTTTTTTTTCTTTTTGATAGCAGTTGATTAATCGTGTTTTGAGGCATCCAAATTTATAATTAAAATCAATAAAAACAATGAAGAAATAAATACATTCTTAAAGCAGTCTCTTCTAAGTTAACCTTGAAACTTGTTACAAGTTCCTCATTTAATGACTTAATGGAAAAGACCAATTTCCAACTCAGTTTAACTCTTAAATGAAATTTTGATACCAAATGGTATTGTATGTTGTAATAGTAATACCCACGTTAACTTGTAAGGAATATATTTAGTGCTTGTATAGTTATTTCTCTTTATGGTCTATTTGAACTGGTTTTATTGATTTTGATTAAAACATATAGTCTGCTTTGGCATGATTAGCTCAAATATGTTTCACTACACTTGTAATTGCCTTCAGTATATCCTGATGAAGGCAAATGCATGTGTACTAAAAATCTTTCTTAAACTAATCCTACCGTGCTAAACTATATCCTTTTTTGTGTGTGCAATATTCTTACCAACCCTAACACTTGTGGGTTTCTTAGCTTCAGATTGTAAATTCTTACTTCATGTTTTATATATTTACAAATATACAATCAGTAATATTTATTAACTGTCCAGCTTTCTTTGCATAGCTTTTTTCTCTGTCGGGTTGTTGATACACAAGGAATATGTCATGGACTTGGGCAACAACAAATTGATTTATTATATTTAAAGCTGTAACTATTTAATGCCTTGGATATGACCTGAGGAGCCATATGAATGTGTGATTAAAACAATGACATTTCAGTCTTCTTATCTTTAAATAACCTACTGTTTGCACACACAGAAATTAATAATAATAATATATATAAATATATTGTGGCTTTCCTAAAAGAGAGAATGGTTCTTGGTTTGTCACATGAGAATTTATGTGGAGTTTGTACCCAGATATATATATCTGACCAAATAAAATTATGCAAGCCTGTTACTAGTGCCTCATTTACCATCATAACATTTAATGGAGAAGAATGACTTCCGACTGAGTTTAATGTCTCTCTCTGAAGAGTTTACTTCAATTAGTGAGATTCAACTGAAGATCATATGTTGTTACAGTGTAATTCTTATGCTTAACCTTATAAATAATACGAGGAACTAATCGTAATTATTTAGCGCCCTTTCCCACGTTATGGCTTATCACAGTAGACTCGTTTCTATCTGTTATACATTAAAGTTGTAACGCTGCATATTAAAATATTACTCTTTACAGAAGCCTAAGAAAAACCACGTTTACTAATTAATATCACTAGCAGAAAAGCCGCCCTATGGACGGCTTTTTAAGCTAGTAATTACTAAACGTAGTATTCATACCTCGTTGGAAATAAAATTTAGAAAAAGTGAACATTTTCTAAAAAAAAAAAAAAATTATGGGATGTATTGCAAGAGAAAGGGTTAGAATTGTGTTGATATAAACTAATTAAAAATGGTACCCTTTATAAGTTTATTGAACAAATGACAGTGTTTTTAAGAACTTCATTTTTAGTGCTATATTTACAAATTACATTAATAAAGATATAATCAAACCCTCTCGTACAACCTTAGTGAAAGTCGTGTTCTTGTTGTGAGGAAAGTACTTTTATTTAAAATTGTGTTCTGAGAAAAAGAAATGGTTGTTGCGCATACCGTAGTTGTTTTTCAAATTGTATGAATTTTGAATACCCAAAGTGTGAAAATTTTATGAATTTGTGTTTGTGGTGTCATTCAATAGATAGCGCTACATTGTGTGTATTATTTCGGTCACATAGATACACCATACATATATAAATGCTACGTCCATTATAGTAAGATTATTAGTACACATAAAACAATATACCTGGAATAAAAAGAAAATACCATTCAAATAAACTATCTCATCTGCCCTACAAAAATGAAACGGATATATTACAAAACAAAGAAAGTTAATCGCTCGTCCATTGCTATTATTTATTTATCGTTTAATAATGACTGTCAGGTTTTTATGTTTGGGCCGGATTCTTTACAGTTGGTGTTTGTGACTTGTTGGCGATAAATTTAAATAATAAACAAACAGCACATAGTCCACATGTTTTAAAATAATGTATTAAAACAAATCAAATGTATATACAAATGTTCGTTACACAGTTGTATCCATAGCTTTAAATAATTGACAGTTCCACCACCCCCTCCCCCGTCAAAGTCCATACAGGCTGGTTCAATTACTTTAATTATAATACAATTTGACAATAATTATTTTTCCTGCTCTGTTATTACAATACAGTCTGTGATAATTTCACTTCAAAATCACCACTATAATTGTTGGTTACCACAGTTGTATCGGGAGCTTTAAAGAATTGTTTCTTTTTTTTTATCAAAGTCCACACAGTCTGGTTCAATTTTTTTAGGACACTTTGACAAAATGAAATATTTTTCTTACTCTGTTATTATAACACAATTTGTGAAATTTCACTTTAAAAATCACCACTATAGGCTGTTTATCGCTAAACTCACAATCACACAGTCTAGATCTATCTAACTACATTTTCGACTCGTATTTATACCCTGGCAGATTCCTAGAACGTTCCACAAATTACTAGATATTATGATGCAATAATACTCAATTAAAACAACGAGAAAACTTAGAAGGTTTTAATAATATGGCATAAAAATATAACAATTACTAATTCATAACTTTTGAACTACATAACATATTGTTACGTCTCCGTTTGTTAATTAACTTTCCGTAACTTCGTTCCGACGAAACTTAAGCGACACAACTCCTTTCTTAATAAAACTAGTTTATTCTTTCCAAATATAACTTTACCGATACACTCAACTTCAACAATCGAGCTAAACAAACGCTGTAACGTCTCTCGTGCTCTCTGACTGCAGTTCAATTACTCAATATCTATACACACATTACATTCCCCTCTTTTATATACCAGCCTACCCTATCTAGCAAATACTAGACCATTCGCCAAGATACGGGATAGTCCTAGAAACAAGAGAGCGTGAGAATTGTCACGTGATCTCGATGTCGCAACAATATAATTCGTAAACAGTGGCGTAAACAAACTTGCGATGAACCATCACTTCTAAAAATAGCGAAATTTAACACTCGCGCAATATAAATTATCTAAATCATAACATTGACATTAACTTTAAACAGTCGTGTATGGTTTACAATATTTTTATACTATATACAAAAAAAATGTTTTCCATTCATGCACAATGTCTACTCATAAAGTCTGCACCAACATTTGCAGCCCCTTGATGACCTCAATAACTGCGCCCGTTAGAGCTTCTTCCCTCTCAAAGTCCCTCTTGAACAGATTGGCGTGGTAGATCTTGGTCTTCCCGTCCACTTCCCCTTATAGTCCATTCTGTTGACCATCTTCTACACTTCAAAAGGTCCTTTCTATTCCAAGGTGACTTTGTTGTTGTCTGTAGGGAGCAAAGCCAAAACCTTCTGTCCGATCTTGAAACGTCGATCCATGGACTTTTGTCGCAAAAGTGTTACCGACTGCCTTGAGCTGCGTACAAACTATACACCTGGAAAAAAGTTAAACACCCCCAAATATTTTTCAGGATTGCTTATTGAAAATAAGGTTTAATTTTTATGAT